ATATCTGTTTTTACCAAAATACGATATACAGGCACACAGCTGTAAAACAACTTCAAACCAGTTCACTATAAAATTACTTTTGGTAATAAATCCTATTCTCAGAGGGGCAAACCCTCGCTGTGCCCTGCAGCTGGGCTGCCTCAGGCACAGTCCCCCTGCACTCCTAACCTGTGCTCCCTTCCTCTTCCTCACTGGGCTGTGCCCATGGCAGAAGCAACTTGTGCTTTTCAGCCTGCGTGAGGCAGAATCCTGCTCCCAAAAAAACACTTCAGTGGAGAAATGATAATGAACATGTGCCCAAAGCAACCTCTGGAGTCATCCTCCCAGCAGGGCCTGTGCTGAAGGAGCTGTACCAGGGCTGGTGGGATCTGCTTTGCTCAAGGCCCTGCAGGCCAGAGAGCTGTGCTGTCTGCTCTCAGTGGGAATGAAATAATGAACAGAACATCTCTGTGTGCTTCTGGCACGTTAATTAATCAATAGGAAATCAGAGACAACCCTTAACCCCCCCCAAGAGATGTGTCAGATTCAGAAACCTTCAACTAAATCTCCTCTGTCTTGGCACAGCAATGGTTTGGAGGGAACAAAACATGGCTCTCACTGCTAAATCTAGAGCAGATATGTGTGTCTGGTGTGTTTCTTCCCTGCTCCAGTGGTGCAGAACTTCAAAACACTTGCAATGCATGTGGTCACAGAAACAGCATTGCTCTAAAAGTCAGGTATGACACATGTAAGAGGGGAGAGACCCCCAGAGTGTGTAACCTCTGCGGCATCCCTCCCCCAGAGCCTGGCTGTAGCCAGGCTGGCCTCACCGAGGTGCACAGAGATTTCAGCTCTCTGCATTAGACTTTTCCCCTTGCTCACACAGCTGTTCCTGCCCGAGTTGCTCCCTGGGCTCCAGGAGCAGCTCCTGGCACCACCCACCCTGGGCACGGCTGCTGTGGCACAGCTGAGCTACAGGCGGAGCAGAGGTGAGGAACTGAGCACTCACAAAGCTCTTACAAAAGAAGCCTCAAGATAAAGCAGCTGTGCAGAGAGATTCCAAGATTTAGCTTTCAGGAAGGAGCAGACTTGCAGCACAGCGTGGTGATAGCACAGGGGAGCAGTGGGGCAGGGGAGGTGCTCCCCAACCCGTGCCAGGGATGGATCCTGGAGCAGCACTTCCATCCCATCCCCAGGGGAGAAGCCTGCCCAGAGCTGCTCAAGGTGTAGCTTTAGAAGATGACTATTTGAAGCCTAACTTCCTGCTGCCCCCATCTATTCCCCATGATCCTTAAATGACATCTCTGCAGGGCTCCCTGGGGAACAGCCTTGAGGGATTGTCAGTCATGACCTGACAGACATATTTTGATGAGCTACTCAAAGACATGTCCTGAACCTTCTCAAGAAAGCACCCCAGAGAGCAACTCGCATTTGCACAGCTCCTGGAAGTTAGTGCTCCATTTAGCTTGTGCACAAAGCAAAATGACACATCACATCCCAAGAGGAATTAAAACCAGCATTAGAGACTTGTAGCCCTGCACTCCCTGTCACTGTTACTCTGAAAAGCCACAGGGGGCAAAAGGCAACAGCAGTAGCTTTGGTGAGATGTTCCCGAGGCAGCCTAAGCAGGTGCCTATGGTGGGAGCAGGATTCCTCCCAGCACACATGCAGGGAGCAGGAGCCAGGCAGGAGCACAGTCGGTCCAGTTCACATTCCCCTCTCAATGTGTTACATGCAGAATTTGCCCCTTTAATTTGGCATTGCCTGGTGCTGGCAAGTCTTCTCTGCCAATACAAGCCACAGAGATACAAGGAGAAAGGGAGAGAGAGACAAGAGGGAAGGCATCAGGCCTGAGAAGAACAGGATTTGTTCTCTTCTCACTTAGAAAAGCTTCAGTCCTTGCTTTGTTCCACACTGAGGACTGTGAGATACAGAAACCAGAATTTCTTCAGTACACATAAGCACACACTGAGGTACCTACGACCAGAGCACAGAGCACACAGGAGCACAAGTTTAGAATGACTCAGTTCGAACAAGACAAGCTTTTACTTGGAGGGGAAAATACCAACAGTTTCACCTTGAATGCAGTTGCTTTGGGTAGGAAGGGAGGGCCTAGGTCACAATCCACCACCTCACACATCCTAGAGCAGACAGAGGGTTGAGCCCTTTGATTCCACAGCACAATTCTGTACTCCTCCCCCCACAGCGGGAGCAAAACATTTGTCTGTGAGAGTCCCTGCCAGCACTGGACCTTCTACCTAAAGATCAGCAGGTAAGAAGAGAATGAGGAACCTCAAGAATGAATTTCTGACTTGAGCAGTCATTGCTGACAAGTTCAATTTCTGAACCAATTGCCAAGGCCTGTGTCCTCTCCTACACTGCAGCTCCTTCAGGGCTTTTGTTTTGTTTTATGAGTGCATTCTCCTCTGATGATCTACCATGGCAACAATCCAGCAGAACCTCCCTGCAGGGCTGCAGAGAGGAGCAGAAGCCTCTCGGTCACAAGGACTCCTCACTTCAGCCCAGCTACAGTGAAGATGGGACCACCAAGGCCTTCCCAGTCAGTACACAAGCAACACTTCAGAAGTTGAGCAGCCCACACAAGTAGAATCATCATCATCATCACTCCTATGCCTGGCAACAGCAAACTCTTCTTTTCCACATAGATGGAACCCAATGAGAAAAGCTTCAGCAAAGCAAAAGCTAAAGCAAAGCAAAAGCATCTGGTTGGAAGGCAATGAGCTGTGGAAACTCCATGCCCTTTTTCCATGCAAGCTGAACCCTGCTGGGGCAGGACAGGGCAACAGATAAGCTGCATTAAAGGTTTCCTGTGTCTTTAGCTTCCACATACAGTTTCAGTACCTGGGGACCTCCTACCAGACAGAAAGGCAGATATCAGCTTCAGTTAGTGCAGGAATCTTACACTGTAATGCACACAGGAGTACCCAGCCCCTGGCTAACTAAGGGCTCCTGTACCTCAAACCAGTTAGGAATTACTTCAAGGCCCAAGGGTAAATCCCTGGAAACAGCAAATCTCAATGGCAGAAGATGCATAACCTTTACAAAACCACACAAGATCTGCAGCACCCTGTGGGATCCACCCAAGTGGTGTGTGTGTGTGTGTTTACACAAACTGTGTATATAGACATCAGAGTGGTTCATTCTTTTTAATACATATACAAGGAGCTGTACATTTGTACATATTTACAATTTACAGCAGCCAGAAGATGTAAGTGTGCTGTACATACACACACCAACGCCGAGAACACACATGCACACACACAAACACACTCGGGGAATGACTGCACGGCCTGGGAAACGGAGTCCTGCCAGAGTCCAACGAGCAGCACCAAGTGGGGTCAGTGTACCAGCTGAGGACAAACACGAGCATTCACAGGGTTCTGTACACTTGGGGAAGAGAGAATGGATGGTGCAAGCTTCAGCCCAGCTACGAAGGACCTTCATGCAAACTGCCCAGCTACACTCCAGCTGTTCCTGCTGTTCCAGACTGTTCCCCTCGGCTGAATGGATCCACCAGTGCTGCCCTTTGCTGTTCTGGCTGACTGGGTGATGGCCCTGCACACAGCCCTGCCAGGACACTGTGCTGGTCACCCAGCTCTGCACTGTTTTCACCTCAACAGAGGCATCGCTGAGGCTCAGCACAGAGCACTGATCAGACTTGTCCTTGCTCTTCTTTCCTAGCAGCCCATGGAACAGTGACAACAGACTTCTTTAATAGCTTAAAACATTTCCTTGTTGCTCACACCTGCACTGCCAGGAGCTGCCAGAGCTACTCTGTGTGCAGGGCAGATAGTGCCATCCTAGCTGAGCCAGCAAACACTTCTCCCAGCAGCCAGAACAGCCTTCTCAGCCAGCACCTTGCCCAAGGCCACGGTCCTCCACACACACAGACTGGGCACCCTGGGCTGGGGGAGCTGCTGGTGCTGCCAGTCACAGCCCCTTGGCTCCCCTGGTGCCAGGGCAGGACTGAGTGGGGCAGCACATGCCAAACATCCACGGGACCTTGGCAGCTCCCTCTTGTCTAACCTGCGAGGGGAACACCAGCACCTCTCCTGGGCACAGCTGGGTCGGGTACAGCAGGGATAGGGAGGTACTCAGCACTGTACAGGATTCTTTGGGCTCCTCTCAGGGAGTGGTCACACCGTGGGAGCCTCACATTCCATCCACACGTGGGAAGGAAGGACAACACCTGCAGGAAAGGTGGGGGTTTCTACCTAGTACCTCAGAACGCAGCGTGCTCCCTCCTCCTGTGGCAGCAACACCAGTGGATGCCCCACCTGACAGTGGGAGCTGGGGACAGCTCTGGGGGTTTGTCTTTGCTCCCCTGCTGAGCACCTGCCCAGCCAGGCAGAGGAAAGCACCTCCTTGGCCAGCAGAGCACAGCTCATACCGACAGCTGCTCGGTCAGATGGACAGGGAGCCTTAAGCATCTTCACAACTTCAAAGCCACTGCTCCAAATGCAACTCAACTGTCCACAGTTTTGTTCCTCACTTGCCTAAGACTGAAAAAATATATCTGTTATGAAGGACTCTGTTATTGCTATTGTTGGTTTGCACTGTGTGGTTCCACCTTCACCATTTCAAATCCAAACTCTTTGGGGATAAAATATTGGGTTTTCTATCGATTTTTCTTTTCTTTCCAATTTCTTAAAATTGTACAAAAATAAAGGATTTCCACAAATGTGGGCCAAAGGTAACCAGTAACACCTCTGTGCTCAGGATCAGCTGCTGGAATTGTGGCTGACAGCCACAAGACCAGAAATAAATCTCTAGTGATTCTTTAGCTTAACATTTAAAAGACATGAAAACTTCTGCTTATAAAACTGACCCCATACAGAATGGAACAGCTCAACTAACAGCTGTTTATTATTACTTCTTAAAATAATGGTCCTAAATTTAAAAATAAAATCAAGTACTTCCTTGTGTGATTTTCACATTATAAAACTGCACCATTCAAAATCTGTGGCCGGGGAAACCCCTTTGCAGCAAGACAGTTTCTTTCAATAGTCATCAAGGGTGTTTTCCAGGAAAACATTCCTGACATCCAGTATGGAAGCCAGCTCCAATATGTGCTTTTGGAGGTGAGGGTTTTCCACCGTTTCGTCTCTTGGCAGCTGAGGATAAGATTCAGGATAATTTCGCGTCTCCTGCTAGAGGACAGTGAAAACAAAGAGAATCAGACACTCCTTTCTCTCACACCCTTCACACACAAGATTGCAAAAGGCCAATTTCACCCTAGTCTGGCACAGACAGAAAATATCCTACAGCTGTCAGTTTTCTCTTGCCACAGACCCAGGTATGGTCGCAGTGGTGATCACTCATCTGCGATGGGGAACAGTATGTCCACAGGAGCCTTGCAGAAAAGCCCCCCAAAGCCCCCACTAAAAAGAGACAAAAAGACTGCACATGTACTTACCTACTAGGCTGGAGCTCAGTTCTGGCATTACAGACATGTAAGCATCTCCAGAGGGAGATTCATCTCATCCTAAAACAAACACCTAAGACACTGGGGGCAAACCTCTCCTCACTGGCACAGACCTGCTGCTCTTCCTGGTGCCAGGGCAGCCCAGGCAGCACTTAGGCTTGCAGAGCTGCTGGATGTGTGCAGCTCCACAGGGGAATGCTGCACCTTGCTGTGCTCAGCTCCCACTTCCCTGCAGTGTGCAAAATGGAGCAGGCAGCTGATATGCCAACACTCCCATACGCGAAATGGTGTAGATCCAGACTGCACTGTTGGCACAGTTCTAACCAACAGGGAGGGAAAATACCACCTTCCTGTTTAGCTTATTCATTTACACTTCAAAGACCTTTCAAAATCCATTCACACTAGAACACATTCCAAAAGTCACTCCCACTCCTCCTCACTTCCTCCTATGTTCTTGTTCTACACCTTTTTAGCTGTGTAAAATAATAATGTGGAGTTATTAAGAGGAATTTTTCTGGCAGACATGACTGTTCAGAGTGACCTAAGTGGGCTGGAGTGTGCCTGCTGTGAGTTCTGTGCAGGACTGAGGCTCCAGCAAGCCACAGGCTTTGTCCCTCGGGAGGGACACAAAGGCACAGCCTGTGCCAGCTGGAGGCATCAGCAGTGAGTACCAGTTCTCCCTCTGGAGCCACAGGGATCTGCCTTGCCCTCAGACCCTTCCACCCCGAGCCAGTGCAGCCCTGCACACCTGGACTGCCCCTCCCGAAGGCACAGACATCACTCCATACCCGGAAGATTTTGTGCATCCTCATTGTCGCCGAACAGAAGATAAATCTTGTGAGAAGCAAGCGAAGAAATTCATCCCCGAAAAACTGAAGGAAGGACTGATCTGCAGAGAAGACAAAGAGAGCTCAGTTGAGACAGGCTCAGCACCCCCAGGTGAGCTGTGCAGGCCCAGGCTGTACCTATGGAGCGGGAGTGGGTCAGCAGCTGCGCAATGTCCCGGTTGATTTTCCGCAGGTAATCCTGGCACTTCTCCCACAACCCTCTGCGC